TCACAATTTTTCTACGCCTACTTATATAAAATTTTGGAGGGAGTTGAAACGCCCAAACCCCCCTCCCATGAGTGCGCCCCTGATATTTTAAACATTTGATGTAATATTTTATCTACTATCCATATTTTATCCACTATCCAATAAAAGACAATTTATTTATTATTTATTATTATTATTACTTTCATCGTTTTGTTGCCTCGAATAGATTTTGTTTTGTTTTTTTAAATTCATCACAGCCTACTTGATTAAAATATAAAATTCGGATATAACTGGTATCTTATTTTCAATCTTATGCTATGATAGCTCGTTGAAAAGATAATTAAAAAATCTATGAAATAATCTAAAAATCCAATATGGCGCCTATTTAACTTTAGGAAGTTGGTAAATGTTCCTCAAAGGTAGCCATCTTGAATATTTTTTGACATCAATTCTGAATTAGGCGTATCAAAGAGAGTAACTTTGATTTAAAACTTTTTTAATATCTCTTATACTTTCGGTAATATAAGACAGGACAAGGAAATGACCAATTTTAGTTTTTTTGAATTTACGTCGAACCTATTCGACATTTTGAATTTCCACAAGGAAATTTTAATAAGCATCTAAATCTGCAAAACATTGGCGATTTAACCAATTCTCTATCTTTAATAATAAGAAAGTTACCCATGCAATCTCGCTCCTGCAAAATGGGTAGTCCGCCCCTGGTTTCGGGGTTTCGAACCTACAGTTGGGTGTCGAAGACAATCACGGAATTAGGTGTCGTACTTTAATTTTGACTACAGTTTTTTACCACCCCCGTGACTGCTTCATTCTCGGAGAAAATTGTAAGTAACAAACAACAAGTCAGTACATACATCAAACGAATGGATAATTTCCACATATTAAAATAAAATGATCCAAACTTATATGAATGTAACTTCAGGGACAAGACCAAGTAATCAACATCAATAAACATAAATTAAGCAAACATTACACCAAAAATGTAAACAATTACAAACAATAGCATAACGGTATTACACATATGATTCTGCATTGCGGTTAAACCAAGTAAACTTCAAAAACAGAGATTCAAACACACAACAAATATAAAATGCGACATACAAAACACAAAGTCGATATAAAGAAATGCAAAAATTACTACCTGCATTAAATAACACAAAATAACAACAAACATTTATGGAGCGACGCGTTCACGACCGCCATTCAAGACAAGATGATCAACGTAACCGGTAACCCCCGTTCGTGCTTTCTAGGTGGCGCAGGCAGCTTTTCCCACCTAGAAATTGCATGGTTGCCAACTCTCCAAAATGTATGTATCGTCGTAAGTTGTATATACAGGGTGGAACCTTTCACATGATTAAATTGTTACCAGTGCTAATCGAGTTTGCTTACTATTTACGAAACACCATGTACGTAAAGCATCAGTCGTCTGCTGGTAACCGTCCCTGAATAAGCCCTTTGTCTACAGCTACAGCTTTTCTTGTACAAATACATTTTGGCACAAATTTTGCATATTATGAACGCAATAGCTATTTGCAACTGAACAAGTAAGCAAATTTACGAGCAAATTTATTTACAACCACGAACTTATAAATTAAGATGGACTGCTGATCAAACAGTTGCATAGATGTAGAAATGGCATCATGGCTGCCCCCATGTAGGTGTCATTTGTCAATTCAGCATTAGCAGTCCATCTTAATATATAAGTTTGTGTTTACAACCTATTCTCGGTAAAAAAATGTAATTTCATTAATTCTTGGGGAGATCCGAGATTTTAACGTTTTTGACACTCCAGGCACTCCACTATAATGCGTTTTGGTAGAATAGTTGGGAATGTCAGTCAAATTTCAATTTTCAGATATTTCTTCGCCCATTTTTGAGGGGATTTGTGACGATTTTGGAAAACTGGGTCACCAGGCTTTTACATAGCTACGTATTTAATTTAGTTTACTTATATCTGCAGCATTGCATAAATTTTAGGAAATGATGAAAATACACAATTTCGAAAAAACATGTTTCTTAGCTTTAATTTACTTAAGAAATAACTTGTTTCAACAAACCTATAATTAATGAAGAAAAAAAACAGTTACAATTCCAAGAAACGAGGACGCTAGGTCCGGGTTTTACTCTAGGTTTTACTTCTGTGCAAATATACAGGGCTGTTTCCCGTAAACCGTTACCTAAAAGTATTCAGACTCCCATTGCAGATAACTGAAATCTGAAAATTTGCATACCAACATAGTTTTTCATGATCTATCGAAAGAAAATATCATGATCGATATATCTAGTAACTTTCTTATTTTAAATAGAATACATTTTTGAAATCTACATGAAAATTTACGTCGTTTAATACCACATTTCCCTGTACCTAGCATCAGAGGTTATTCAAGATTTTTTAAATTTGTTTTCCTTTAGCGCCCTGTACCTATGGCTCCGTTGACTTGAATTTCAATAAGTCTTCCAAAATCAACAATACTGACGTGATGCTACATGCGAATGATTTAAATTTTGATCGCCCTTCTACAGGGTGTTTTAAAATTAATGGTCAAGTTTAATAACTTCGAACCATAAAAAGTTGATTTTATCAATCGAAACCTGCTTTATTTTTCTGCACTTTCAAATGTCGAGAAAAATTCTACATCGATCAATTATTACATTCCCTATACCTATCTGTAATGGTTTTCGTTTTATTTAAGATTTTTTAAATTGTGACCGTTATATTATGCACAATTCTCTTAGGGGGCCTTGAGATAAACGTGATGTCTTGAATAACTTGAAAACCTTTGATGCTAGGGCAAAGGGAAGTATGGTATCAAATGACGTAGATTTTCATGTAGATTTCAAAAATGCAATAAAATATAGGGTGCTCTATTTAAAATAAGAAAGTTGCTATCCACTTCCGGTACAAGAAATGGTTCCCAAACTGCCGGTATTTTTATGACTTAATGGGATTTTAATAGCATATCGAAATTTTTTGGGTGCGTTAGAGAAGTATTACTAATTATATTTTAAGATGTTTATAAAGTTTTATTAGTTTTACAAATAGAAAGCCAAGTAATGTTTACACAGCGTTTAAAGCACGTGCCAGGGCAGTAGCCAGATTGATTTATAAGAGCGGGTCAATAAATCTACAGAGCGGGCGGGCGAAATAATGATTTGCTGTGTTCACCCCCTGAAAAATTCGTATTTTCTTGGAAAATACAGTTCGAATAATTTGGTAGCTGAACGCAAATAAAAAATATGTACATTTTCAAAAGCTTTTCAGCAGTTCATTTTTCGCCTAAGAACATGTGTGCCAACTGCCAACTTTAGTTACTTTCTGGTTACTTAGTGGTTTGGCAGAAAATGAGTGCACAGACAGTTGGAAGGACGATCATTGAGATCTGGGTTTTTAGAGATCCAAAACGCACATATCCTTCTTAATAGTGAGAGGTCATCTGTAGGCCTCTCTTATACTACGGGTTGCAAGTGGTAAACATGACAATAATAATCTATGTATATCATTTCTGCACCTACAACCTGTTATAACAAACAATGGACCTTAGGTACTAATTTAACCATAGAAACTTAAAACACTTTCTTAAACTTACATTTTTTAACTTTTAAATAAAAGCCTATAGTTTCTTTGTTTATTAAGTTATCGGAAAAGTGATCACTACAAAACTTCTTTGCAATGATTGTTGCATAATCTGCTGTTTTCAAAATAAGTATACGGGGTCTGGTAAAAAACTTTCAGACCTAACCTCGTTTTTTAAATAGATTCAATTAAAAGTGTTAAAAAAAATTGTGTAAAATTTTTTTAATTTTTTATTTCATTATATGAACCTTTTTAATCTTTTTTGAAAGTTTTTGAATCGTTTGAATCTTTTTTTAAATATCATCCCTGGTGTGCTATAGTTTTGAAAAGAGAATTTAGTATTATGTGTTTAGATTAAAACATACAGGGTGTTGCATTAAACAAAATAAGTTAGGTCCGATAACTTTTCTTCTTGACCTCGTAAACTTACTTTGAAAATGTATTTTTTCTGTAATTGTTAACAAGTTAGTATTGATGAGTATGAATTAGATTGTTGGAAGGTAACAACCAAGACTAAGCTGCGTAAGCGGCTATTATTTAACTTTAATTAAATAAATATAGTTTAGGAGATGTGACTTTGATTGTTGGGTATCTCCCAACATCACTACATAAGGACTTATGAATGGCAGTAGAAGTGGGACGCGTCCGCTCATACCTACGCCTTAATCTTTAACATCCAGAACTGATTACATCAAACTCATATCCCCTGGGCCCTGACTCGCGGCAGTCCACATCCTCTCCTCGCACGGAGAATTTGGTAGCCATGAGAAACGTATCGCCGTTTCCAAACATGATGATCATTGTCGGACGTCTGGGGTCTCTGGCACCCCTGCTCACCGTATTCTAGCTTGTCGGCAATACGACGATATCCGTGCATCCTAGATCTGGTTCCTGATGCCCTACGTCTTTGAATAAGCCTAATTTTATATTCAAAACCTACGTGAATTTGCGCCGAAGCAGAAGCCAGAGTCAAACCGTAGCTTTTTTAAAGCTTATTTTTTATTTGCTTTATTTATTTTGCTACTTTGGTAACAGATTATATTCGCCCAAACGAAGATCTCAATTCTTTATATTCGTGCGCTGTAGATTTACGCGATCTGCAGTCACCCAGTAGTCATTAATTTTGGGTAGTAGTTTTCTTCTTCATTTCTGCTAATGAAATTTCAAGTCATCCCATTAGGTACACTCAAACTAAATCTCAATAAATAAATAAGATAAAAAAAGTTCGCAGAAAGAGATAAAGGTCGCTCCTTATTTATTTGAACTGTTTTTTTTTGCGTCATTTATTAAAATAAGATAAACTTACGTGTAAGATGTACTTAACACGTGACAGGTTGCTTCAGATTTTTTAGTAAATAAAGCTAGACATGTATAATATATGCTTATGCTAACATTTCCCTCCATACACATTAATCGACTTCGTGGTATATAGCTCGCAAAAGTGTATCTAACATGTCTTGTAAACCTCTGTAACCGATTGTAGAGAGTGATTTTAAATTTCCCGCCGTCTCAGTAATTCCATTTAGTGCAGTGGCCTTACTCTATACAAACTACAAACGATTTTTTGAGTACACGCTTTTATAGGGTAAGATACGTACATATTCGTATTCCTAACATCATCATACTCAAATTTTTTTAGTTCACCGATCCATTTTAAAAACCGGAGCTTCGAACATGTTGGCTTTATGTTTAACTATTCTTACGATAGGTTTCTGTACTCTCGTGCACCGATATTTGCATTGGAGTAGAAGAGGTATTAAGCAATACCCATTTTGGAAAATTTGGCTAAACAACATTCGCGACTTTATTACACAACCACCATTGACTGACGCCATGGTGCGAGCTCGTGAAGATTTTAAAAATGCACGGTACTGAAGAATAAAGAAAATATTTGTGTTACATTCAATACGCTTTAGATATATTGGAACTTACCAAAATTTCAAACCGAGACTGTGTATAGAAGATCCAGAACTGATAAAACACGTGTTCGTCAAAGACTTTGATTACTTCGTCGATCATAATGTTTTTTTACCATATGACGGCGACACGGTTTGGGAGAAGAGTTTATTTAATTTAAAAGGTAGGTCTCATCCAAGAAACTTAGAAATAATTTCCCCTCGCTTAGGTGACGATTGGAAACAGTTACGTGGGTTTGTAAGTCCCACGTTTACCAGCAGCAAAATTAAGCTAATGTTCCACACAATTTTGGAGTGTTCAGCACAAGTGGTCGCGTCTTTGAAAAAAAGCGGAAAAGAGATTGTCGAGTTTGATGTGAAGGAACTTTTTGGACGATTAACCACCGACGTCTTCTTCGGCACGCATTTTGGAATTCTTTGCAATTCTGTAGAAGAACAAACTAATGAATTTTACACGATTGGCCAGAAAGCCACCAATTTTCTCGGATTTTGGTTAAAAGTCCGATTCATTGTGATTCAGGTGTTTCCAATAGTAGCGAGGGTGAGTGTTTTCAGCTTTTAAATATCTCCTATCCGTACCATTGCAGGTGTTCGGTCTACGAATATTTGATCAAAACGTAACCAACTTCTTCCGGTTACTAGTTAAAAACAACATCAAATCCAGAAAATCGCAACAAATCGCTCGTCCAGACCTGATAGGCATAATCATGAAATCGGAAAATAACCCGGATAACATCGAGTTGACCGACGAGATACTAACAGCGCTTGTAGCCACATTTTTCGGTGCCGGATTCGATACCGTCTCCTCGGCATTAATGTACACATTTTATGAACTTTCCTGCAACAGCGTTGTTCAACAAAAATTGCTCGATGAAATCGATGCCAATAAAGACAACTTCACGTACCAAACGGTGATGGAAATGCAGTATTTAAATATGGTCGTGTCTGGTAAGTGCAAATTAGAACGTTGCAGCTTTGGGCACGTTATACTTTCAGAAACTCTGCGAAAATGGCCCGTTGGATTCTTCCTGGAGAGGCAGTGCGTCAAGCCGTACAGAATTCCGGCATTAAAAGACGACGAAGTTGAGGTTCAACTAAAGGTGGGGGACGGAATTTGGGTACCTCTGTACGCTCTACACAGAGATCCGGAATTGTTTAGCGATCCTGACCGTTTTGATCCCGAAAGGTTTAACCCCGAAAATAAAAAGAACATCAATCAATATGCTTATATGCCTTTTGGAAATGGGCCACGAGGTTGTATTGGTAGCAGATACGCACTATTGGTACTTAAGGTTGCCATCTTCCAAATTTTGCAAAGCTTTTCTGTTAGGCCGAGTAAAAACATGCTACCACTTCAAATTGCGCGTTCGTATTTGCAATTACTTCCAAAGGATAAGATGCTACTCGACTTTCGTAGACGAAATTAAGTTAATTTATAATCTGTAATAAGAAGTAATATAATCGATATAGGTAGGTGTAGTTTATGTGTTTATTGAACACTTGGGCATTATTGTCAGATTTCAATTTTCAGTCATTTCTTCGTCAATGGATCAATTCTGAAGGGATCGCCTTTTATAACTCACTTCGTAAATTGCAGAAAATGATGCAAATACACGACTTAGACGAAAACATATTTTTTAACTTGGCAAACATGATGGAGTGGGGGTAATTTACTACTTGAAGGAACATCAAACAAAGTGGATGTCATTTATATTTATTTTAAGTTCCAAATAACAGTGGTTTAATTCCTTAATTTACTTAGATAACTTGTTTCAATAAAACTGAAGGAAAAAATAACAATTTCCAAGCAACGGAGTCACTAGGCCCGGATTTTACGTTTATGCAAATATATGTATAGCCTGGTCGAGGAGAGTTACTGGCGTTTTAAAAAGCTAGTTGGCTCTTTCCACGTACGCAGCTTTTTCCCCTACCCCCCACGACCGTTCTCGCCTTCCTGCTTGTCTGTCCCCATGGAGCCAGAGGAGGGATCCTCCAAACGCCATACGGCACAGCTTGCGCCCGACGCTCCCACCGAAGAGAGGTCGTTATCCGACCCAGCGTCTCTGAGTTTTCGTTCGACGCCAAGACCTTGAACCTGAAGAATTTTATCTTGGGCTTTAAGACCGGCCACAAACAGAATCAAAGACGCCTTTAGTCGTTTCTGCCTGTTTGTCTAATACTAACACTGATCCCGTGTGCGGGGGTTTTAGTCACTGGGCGTCGTGACTCCCCGCAGAGATCATTGTCCTCTGGCTTCGCTCCATCTGTCACCAGATTGTTGTATTATGGTGATCTTGTAGATCGCATGTTAGTTTTGGACCCTAACCAACAATTCGTCGACACCCACAAAGTTTGTGGCATCATCACAGTCAACGGTCGTTCTGATGACCTGATGACAAATTCGCCTACTACAACTAACTTTAGCAAATCAAATGGCAGAGAACCACTGACTAAAAACGTCTTTTCATGGAGCTGCGCCAGTCAAGGGAAAATCGGCTTTAGACGTGTGTTCGTCTAGGTCAGGGGTCGGCAATCTATTGAAACAGAAGAGCCAAAAATTACAAATTATAACATTTCCCAGTTTTGAAAGAGCCACAAAAAAATTTTGATTTAATATTATAGTATTTGGCTATATACAGGGTCCTGCAACAATGCGTCGGTTTTTCCTACATAGCTGATACCTGGTAAAAAATATTGGTGGTTGCGGATCTACAGAAATTATTTTTGCATGTACAGGGTGTCCCATTTTTACGATGTCAATAAATAACTGATCTTTTTAAATAGAACATCCTGCATATTACTTGTTTCAATGCCATTTGTTCAAACTGCTATAACTATTCTTTTTCAAATGGAACTACTACTGTTTTATTTCGCTATTCGATTGTCTTTTGCGTTCTCTTCAATGTTTATAAGGGGTGCCCTGTGCTTAAACCCCGCAGTTTTTATGGTATTCAATATTTTTCACAAAAGTACCTACTCATTAATTAATTACGTGTTTATACATCGGAGTAGGCTGCTATAATAAAAAAACAAAAGAATACAAGAAAGTAAAGGTAAACAGGTGTCACAAATTAGATAATTATTTGCTGCAAGTGTACTTTTGATTTGGTAAACAAATAAGATTAATTAAAAAGGCGAATTTCGAACAAATGAAGTAATTTCTTTAGATAAATACGGAGAGCCGCAACTTTATATCAAAAGAGCCGCATGCGGCTCGCGAGCCGCAGATTCGATTGCCGACCCCTGGTCTAGGTCGATGCAGTGTGTGGCGACACCATAACCACCCATCCTAAACCCCTCGTTTTAGTCGCTATTACTCCAAATAACTAAATGTGACTAAGGAAACACCGTCCAGCAAATCTGACTCCTTCCCTTACCAATACGGTAAGGTGTATGCAGTCTTTTCCTGAAATGCATCGTTACTTTGCCACTTTGAGAACAGCGCGGTTCCCGAACGTGCGACACTGAAAAAAATGACTTCCTTGTGGTAACAAATTTAGAATTGCTACATGCATATTGTTGCAGCAGCAAAAAGAAATGGTTTTAAGAACTAAATAATTTACTGCTTTAGTTTTCCCAAGTAGTTGCGATTTCCTGGGGTTAATAATGAAACTTTGTTGGAGGATAGCAAACATTTTTTGTTAAGAGCGCCAACGAGCATTTTGCATTGATTCCATGAACATAAAAGTATGCCTTCATAACAAAAAGCAGTTTGCTGATAAACCTAATACCACTGTATTTGTGACAACATACTAAATTCCTTAACTTGAAGGACGAAAATAATATAAAATTTTATTTATAATACTGCAATCATGCAATTCCCAAGTAGTTGACAGGATGTGCTTATCTCACCTTGCCTTGCATGTCCCAGAGTGCCAGCCAGATGTGAGAGGACATCATTACAAAGTACTCTGTGACCCTGTCCAGTGTCATAATTACTAGCTCATTTTTTCACGGTAAGTCGCCAATCTTGTACCTACTGAATTTCGGTTATTTACATTACGAACTTTTAGTATTTTAATGTTTTTTCAATGGCTGAACAAAGTGTAGGTGATATATTGGAACAATGGGGATTCCCGGAACTACTTTTGGTGTTTGAAGGTAAGTGTAACTTTAATCCATAAATTGTTTTGAACTATCTTTTGTTTTCCGGCATTTTCATTTTTAGATTTTTCGAACAACGACAACTCGAAAAGTGCCGGTCTGATCAGAAACTGGTCGAGGAACTTTTTATTCAGTTTTCTTTGTATAACACCATCCCATAGTCCGTGTGCGCGAATTTCGAAACACGCTGTATATGTAAAAGCTGTTTACATGTAGTGTAGGTAAGTTTTAATCTCGGTTTTAATTTAAGTGTTTTATATTTTGTCTTTGGAGATGTTAATGATGACAAATTTACTTCCAACAAGTTATGTTGATTTCCTACAGCAAATAATTTTGTTGAGGCTATAGCTACTAAAAAAATTAGTTCGAGTAACTAATTGTTAGTTACGACAACAATTCTTTTTTTTCAGTGGAGGATCCCTTCCGGGAAGCTCCAGTTTCTATGTCCACCATCGTTGCGGTACCTAAAACCCACGCTTCGAAGACAGCATATTAGATTAAAACGGCTCTCATCTAAGGTCTCGATCCTAAAAGTCCCGAATCGGAGAAAAGCAATCCTCAAAATAATCTGATAGAAAAAGTTGCAAGATCAGGCCCTTCCGAGGCTATCCATTTTGGATGTCTCTCGGACCAGAATTTAGATTATGCTCCAATAGATATCCTTTCTTTAGCCACATCGGCCTTGAAAGTGATTCCGGTTTGAGAACAAGTCGCTGGATTCTTGGATGCGATCCAATCGTACGCAATTTTCTCTTCTCAATGATACTAAATGCAGCTAGTCACGAGATAAGAGCTTCTACAGGAGCTCTCATACACAAATTGCGTGAGGACTTAGTTATAGGACCTAAGTATGCTATTTTTTTACGTCTAAATTAAATTTAGGTTAGGTTTTATAATGATTTTGTATGACTTTTGCTATAAAATAAAGTTTCACGACCATAAGCGGAAACTATACAATTAATCCTGGTCCATTTTACCCTGTATTGATTAAGCAGAACGCCTTTACAGTCCCAAAAATTGGTTGCCATCAATTTTCGAGAAGTGGACGGGTTTTTGCATTTTTTGGTGCATTGTTTTCTGCTTTATGAGAGATGACTTTTCGTCGAAAAATAACTGTGTAGTTCTGCAATGCGTCCAAATGTTCTTGACAAACTTTGTCTCTCACCAAGTTCCTGCTTTGGCGCAAGAAGTAGGAAATTCTATCGAGCAGACACTTTTTCAAGTCCATATATTCGTGTATTTGAGTCCTGCGCTAGTGCTAAGCTCTTCTGGTCTTCTGAACCTCTGATTAAGGTAGAATGTGTCGTTGGAGATGATATCCTGAAGAGTTAAGATGGAGTTCATACCTTATTTAGGATACACATCACGCCTCGGCCCTCTGACTAGGACTCCTTACGTCTCCGTTAAACCGCTCAGTAGAACTGGCAACATGGTCGAGCCCGCACCTATCGTATCTGCCCAACTCACATTGTATTCTAAATGCGCTTTGCTTATCGCCAGACTTATTCACGTCCACGTTTCTTGTGAACCGGTGCATTTCCCTATGTTTGAACGTAATACAAATTCGGAAAAAATTTTACAACTGTAAATCAATCTCCCGTTACAGTATTTTGTATGCCTACTTCTGAGGTATAGTATGTACCAACAGACATATGAACAGACGACGGTGAATCTCACGCAATGGAGTCCCTTTAAGTGGAATTAAAATTAATTCTCGAGCTATAGTTTTAGTTAGGCGGGAAAATGGGTAGGCGAAGAGGAAAAGATGCAGAAGTTGGGTGACTCGACACCGACTCGATTGAACGTGGGTTTCAGTAAAGCTGAAGTACCCCGCAATCGTAGCTTATGTTGTCTGTGCTACAAGCAACCAGCGATCTAGGATACCAATACTCTTCTGAGTAGGCTAACGGTTAACTAGGCGCGGATATGGGACAAAAACACCTGGTCAACGTTTTTGATCAGCATCTGTTCGCTAGGCGCGGTTCCCACTGGAGCGATACGATAAGCGATGCAACAGGTGATTCGATAAGCAACCCGATCCTGATTCGACAGCGATCACTCATAATCGTGCAAATGTAATGGAAGCAACTAATCTCGTACACACTGGAGCGATCGCGATACTACACCGATAATTATCGGAGTCGCGTCGGGGTGAGAGACATAGCTGTCGGATCGCTTTGACCGCAGTATCGTTCGACACGTCCGATTAATCATGTCGGGTCAGCAAGAAGACGTGCAATCCTCTATTTCCTTCGTGGAATTGGTGGAGGAGAACGCGTGCTTATGGAATTATACATTGAAAAGTTATAGCAGGACTGATTTGACAGGTATTCTAGCTACCACGTTCAGGGGTTGGAAACACTCGGACGAGATTCTAAGAATATCGTGCGAGAACATCCGTTCCATTGAGTGGTTGATGGAGGTGGTTGGCACTGTGGGAGACTGCACACTTAACGGTAGTGCAGGAAGACTGTCTTCTTAGGCTCGGAAAATTGGGTCCCCAGGGAACCTAACGGCGCTGGAAGCACAATTCCTCGGCAAAGGTAGGCAGCAGGTGTGTCTTCCACACAGCCAAAGAACGACCAACCTCAAGGGAGGCGGATAGTTTTTGGCATTAAGGAAGAGGCCCAGGATAACTTAACCACCAGACGGGGGACACAGTTATGAGTGTTCCCCTGTAAAGGTGAGGGTTAGTAACCCTGCCCGAACAAAAGGTGTGCTCCTCATTATAAAGCAGGACATTGCCTTCATTCAAGAACCCTGTGTTGTTAAATCAAGGGTTTCTGGTCTTGGGAGTTCAAAAGGAACCGTTTTATTTGATACACGGCAAGAAAAAGCAAGAATTATCTATGTCTGTTTTGGAGTTGGATTACTAATTAAAACACTCCCGTGTATTTTCTCTTATCGATCTAATTTATTTACGATATTGACATAACGAACGTTAAACATAACAATTGAATATCTAACTAATTTTTTCCTATTACTTTGATCTGATCAATGACAAATAACATAAATTTGTTGGGACACAACAATGTCCCTAGCCACCGTAAAGATTTTCTACTGCCACACCGTGGCCGTGATAACACGACTATACAGTTAAGCTGTAACATACAGGGTAAAGCTGAATTATAACGGGCGATCAAAAATGGTTGCTGTCGAGTCGCTTTTGGAAGTTCAAATTAAGTAATACTTCCCATGTAAACAAAAATTCCGAGGTGACTCGACAGCAACTCATTTTTGATCGCATAGCAGTAATAGCATCTCCCGGGAGATTCTGCCAACCTATAAATCACTATCGACTAGCTCTGACCATTATAACGAACTGGTAAGTCACATACCAGAAGCGACTCTGTCAAATCATAGAATTTTCCCTTTACAAAATCTCCTTGGAGAAACACTTAGAGAGAGCCCTCTCGGGGGACGTCTCTACAGTTGGAATCATTTGGACAGACATGTCCTCTGAGAACTGCCAAGATGCCCTATACTATAATTATCCTTGGGGGTGCAGGGTGCTCGAAACGCAGAAAACTCAGCTCACCGAAGTATTGAATAAGGCAAGGAA